AAGTTTTTTCAAGGCTTGGATGCCCAATGAAGGCAAAATTATATGCCTTAAAAGGCTTCTACTTAAATTCCTGCAATAAGGCACGAAGACACGATAAGAATTATTTTCAATCTTGCGGTAGCACAAAATGCCGCATTTGATGTAGTATAGATGTAGACTGACTCGCTATCGCGCGGATTAATTAGCGTCCAAGTCTTTGTACTTGTCACTTTCAAGTGAACGGATTATGGTCAAACATTTAGAATTTCTATTATAGAAGAACACAAACTAAATACTGAACTCTAAGAAAGAGTTGCAACATGAGCAAGTTTATAGCCAGATCAGCAATATAGTGCATCTGTTAGTACATTCTGTTTGCCCTGTTCTAAACTTCAACTCATTATGATAAATACTAAAGAACAATGTCCAGGTCATGCAGGGCTTATAATATTGATGATCCACTTAGGGCACTGAGCGCCATTTTTGTCTCCTCTTGGACGGTTTCATATAAGAATTAAAAAAAATTAACTTTATGGTATCGGGTCGAATGAAAACCAATTATAAAAGGTCCCCATTATACAGCAAATTAATACACGCATCGACCAAATTTTTACGAGTTATGACGAAGCGTCTAGCGAGGGTATCCACAAGGCTATCTAGTAACATCACTGATACTAGCTTTTTCGTTGAAGGGTGCATACAGCTGGACTTCTTTATCCCTTTTTGACATGACAAGCGTTTCGTAGCCTGACTTTGCCTTTAGGAAATTGCTTAATTTTCGAGAAGATTTAAGTGAACATAAAGTTTTGAGCAATAGTAAAGTCACTAATCTTAATGTTTCTGTACTAGAGCTGACGTCGCTAACGACATCCAATAACAAGTCATTTCACCCGAACCCGTCATTACGTGGATTGCGTGTCACTACAGGCGCACTCTCTGAGCCGAGATACCTTTATCTGTTGACAGCGTCAACCATGACCTTTCGCGCGTCGCTATCACATCCAACGCCAATCAGTAGGTACACATTGGCACTCATTGCTCATATGATGGGTCAACGCGCCGGTTAACGGACGCTTAATCAACAACATTCTCAGCATACATTGAGTTGTTCGTACAGCAAAAGTTACTTAGCTGGGTACGTCTAGTTTTGCAACACATAACATGCATTGTTCAATGCTCATGTATTTGACATCGTAAGAATCAACTAGTTCTGACATTCCGATCTCCAGCACACTGACAGAATCAGCCAGAATTTCGCGCCAATAGCGCTTCTAATTTCTCAGATGTACGTTAATAACACTTCAAAACTCCGCTAGGGGCAGTATGCGTTTTGCCTTATGATTTTGACCTCTCAACAATTTAAGGGTCGTGGTGCTTAAGCCTGTCTATACCAAGAATGACAGATAAGTTTTACTGACATCAAAGGAAATACTATCCTTCGATACTGTTAAAATCGAACAACTTCACACCCAACTTCACAGTAACTTTAGACACTTTGACTAAATCCCGTGTTAACCAGAGAGCAATGAGCGCATCACACTGTTGCACCTGAAGCGCCTCAGCATATAGTCGATTCCCTCCCTCACCGAACGAAAGATCATTTGAAATATTGCCGAATAAAATGAAGTTAGTGTAAATTAGCTAAAAAAATTAAAGGTTTGCATTCGATTACGAGTCTAGCATGACTGTCATTTATAGTTTTCCTTGTTAAAGGCACAAAATTCTTTCAGATTAATTTATGCCCATTACTACTTATACAGATTCCACATACCCTTCTCTTATCTATTAGGGCACCTCACACCCACTGAAATTTTAAATTTTCTTTCACCGTGTCATTCTTCTGATCAGCGACGGTGGCCTGACTCGAAGATGCTTGTGGGGCCTATCTTAAATACATGTTGGGAAGCATATAAATAGTGCTTGCTCCGGCGAAGCTTTGCAGAGTAATACGGTGTTATTCTATAGATCGAAGCTCTGCTTCTTTGTCCGTCTCTACTAGACTAAGGTCCATAGGGTCCGCTTTATCATTATAATTGAATAAGTGTTTCATGCCGATTTTAAGCTGGACTAATGACGACCAAAGCAATCTGCCTTAACGCCTAATTTAGCGGTCAGTTCAATATACACAACCGCCTCAAAGCAGATAAGGTGGAATCCGGCTGATTTCATTCGATATACGCCGGTACGCATACCCTCTATGAAGATTAGAACCAGATACATTTCAGATATCGAATCAAGATGGATGGCAAAAACCAAAGCAGTAAACCTTTTACATATAATGATAGTACTTTAATGATCTGGTGGGCACGCGGTATGCCCATCGAGACTGATCAAAAGCCGGGATTAGTGCTTACATTGCAAATCATATGCGGGGAAAGCCGTGTCCACAGACGTGCAACATGTAAGCGCCCACTCTCTGACTCGACCACCTAATTTTGAGGTATCCAGCCCAACTCGCTGCTGGTTTGATTGGGGAATTGCTGCGTTCATGGCCATTTTAACCTCTTAAACCCACATAAGGAGATTAAATTCCCCCTTTCTTTATAATGTCGTACACTCAAGACTGTTGGGCTTGTTTTACGCCCCTCTTTCGGTATTAGGACATACCAAGTAGGTGTAGCCGATCCAAGATGATCACGCGATCACCCAATTAGAGTAAGTTCAATGTGCATGAAAGTGTCAAGACGTGCACACAACACGTCAAAAATTTGTGAAAGGATAAAACCCACTGATGCAATCCAGACTAGCGCTCAGAGTTTCTCAGGTGCTAGTTGTTGGTTCTCAAAGAGATTGATTGTTATCTCCATTCTAGGAGGAACACTCTATTAGAGGCTCAGTTTTAGATTCACTTCAAGTGCCACAAACTGTAGCAGATCTGCACTGGCTGCTTTGCCAGAGGGAGACCCATAGAATTGTAGAGTCTCTTATCGCACAATAAAAAACAAGTGTAAGCATTAAGACTTCCAAGCACTTACAGACTTGGAAATACTTTTTTCTATTTACGCAAAAAAGGTCGCAAGCTTCTAGTACTGGTAAAGGGGGCGAACTGGTCGATCACATTACACTAAGGCCTAAGAGTACTGGCCATAAGATAGACTTCTTACACTGAAGAACAGAGGAATTAAAAAGACACACGTACGATACTAATCAAAAAGGGAGCTGACCCGTCACACTTTACATTCATACCTGTAATATTTTGTGCGCTTAGAGGCTCTACAATTATATGGGTCTCCCTCCGGCAAAACAGCCAGTGCAGATCTGCTACAAGTGGTGGCACTTGAAGTGAATCTTAAACTGAGCCTCCAATAGATTGTTCCTCCTAGAATGGAGATAACAATCAATCTCTTTGAGAACCAACAACTAGCACCTGAGAAACTCTGAGCGCTAGTCTGGATTGCATCAGTGGGTTTTATCCTTTCACAAATTTTTGACGTGTTGTGTGCACGTCTTGACACTTTCATGCACATTGAACTTACTCTAATTGGGTGATCGCGTGATCATTTTGGATCGGCTACACCTACTTGGTATGTCCTAATACCGAAAGAGGGGCGTAAAACAAGCCCAACAGTCTTGAGTGTACGACATTTTAAAGAAAGGGGGAATTTAATCTCCTTATGTAACGGGGTGAGAGCCCGTTACCGTCTTACACTAATATTTAAGCTGAGGAAGCGCTGTGATTTATAAGGTAAATTTAACTCTGTTTGTATTTTTGTGTTTTTATAATTCGCAGTAAGTGCGAATATGTTCCCTAGCTCATGGGAACCACTCAAATACAGAACTAATTATTATTGGCTAATTATTGGGTCTGGCACCCCAATAATAAACCAATAATAAATAGACGCGCAGTATCCGCTATCCGGATACTGCCTACACTTAATGTATGTAATTATGTAATAAAACTATGACTACTTAATATAATGGGTTGCCCCATTACATCACCCCCCTCTTTAAGTTGCGCTTACCGTGACGTAAGCGCCATTTACAGAAAGTTTCTTCTTAACGAATAGTCCAACGAAAAGCCCAACGAGAACTCCAACGACACGTCATCTTGGTCTTCGAATCTGCTCAGCCACAAACAACTGAGCAGCATGAATCCTGAACACCCACGCGACTCGACCCCAAACGACAGTTGGGGTCATCAGACACTTCGAAGAGAGCGTGCACCGCAGACCATGGATGACGACTTGAAGCCGTGGGGCTTGTACAGCCTTGAAGGCGCGCACCAACCTGAATCACTTGAGACCATGAAGAATCTCTTCACACGATACCGTAACGTTCGAGGCAAGGGAACGAATCACACATACACTGAAGACGCACTGCAACGATCTTGGTGTGCCTTCATCAGACGTTGGAACGCGAGTCGACGTGAAGGGGCATCCTTCACGTCCTGGATCGAGGGACGCGAAAGTACTCATGGCGACCACGCTATTGGCGACTTACGACGACGCGTATGTCATTTGACTCGTGATGGGTTCCACATGTGTTACGTCCATGTCCGTGAAGGGTGTCCACGGTGTCACATGGAGAGACCGCGACCAATGCGGCAGAAATGGGACGACATGGTGTGTGCACGGGGAATGCCCCAGCACATCCGACCATGGATCGGACGCTATGAGAGGAGCCTATCAGAACTCCAAGTATCTGCGTTGCGTCACATGAGGGAACGCCCTGTCGATCAATGGAGGCGTTCACGTAGTCGAGATCGTTTGTCTTACGACCACCGAGGTCGTTCTCGTAGTCGCTCTCGACCGTCAAGATATCCAAATGCTCCCGAGCCTGGTAGAAGACGTCGGAGTCGCTCGGGAGATCGTCGTCGATCGCCAATTCACGCACGTTACGGTTCGCGGGATCGTGGAAGGAGTCAGCAGCGTCGGTCGCGTTCGCCGACCTCTTACTGGTCTCGTACTCCTCAACAACGTCAGGAACATCGTGAGCCCGCATACTTCGAGGCTCCCACGTGTCTTCCGTTGGTGAATAACCCAACCATCGGACCTTGTAATGCGTTTCTGAACGAGTCTTCGATGGCGCCGAGCCACTACTCGGCGCAAGAGGCGTGGGGTCTTCATGACCGACGATACGGTCCACAATCCAGCGTCGCTCACTCGATGCATCTACCAAGGGAGGAGGAGCATCACGACGGAAGGCTTCTTGGGTTGGGCGCCGATTCTCATAATCGGGCGCCTGTGCCGTCGAGTGACGAGCTTCGTTTCCTTCGTGCTGACACTGAAGAGGCGATGAACGGCCTTCTGGATGCCCGTGAGATGGCCGAGAGGGCTCGAGATCGTGCAGCAGCTGCGACAGGGCTGCCGAGAGAACCCGACGGGAGCAGCAGGGCTTGGTGGAGCGTCTGCGACAGCTCGAGACTGCTGCGTTCGGTGGACCCCAGCAGAACGAGTCTGCTCGCGCTCGTCTAGGACTTGGTCCCAGTCGTCGTCAGCGTCGTCGGCAGGGGGTGTCGGACTTTGAGCCGATACAGACGAGTGAGGAAGGACCAAAGGGAGATCCGCCGGCAGGTAAGCCTTAAGGCGCCCGACATAGAATGTCGGGTGCAAACGCATAGTGGTAGGTATGTCTAGCGTGTAAGCAACTCCATGGACTTCAACAATCCGAAAGGGCCCAATATATCTTGGCGCTAATTTATTAGCGCCCAAACTCGTTACTGACGTGTCTGGTAATCCGCTTGTCGATAGTAAGACTCTGTCACCTTCTTGAACGTCAGCAAGTTCTTTCGACCTCGCTTGTCCGCGTTCTCCTTTTGTTTATCCACTGCTTCTTGGAGTGCATCGCGTACAAAACGCGTGATACTTTGCCGTGGTAATAGTAATTCGGTCACAGCAGCCGAACTTACAGGAGAAGTGGACTCTTTAGGAGCAAAATTAGCGACGGGAGACGCGATGGGATGCATCGCGTCGGGACTCGATATGCCATTGGCCACGAAATTAACAGTATGAGTTGCATCGGCAGCAACCTTGTCTTCAACATTACCAATCATCAAAATTTTTCGCGTAGTGTCATCGGGAGATACTCCCCCACCAAGCTGAGAAACTGGGTGTGCTGAAGCTGAAAGAGCAAGAAGCGCTGGAACGCGAGGGTGCCTCGCGTTATTCACGAAAAATGGCGTTAAATCAGTCGACGCATGAATTGCGTTGTTGATTGCAAATTCAGCGAGAGGGAGAAACGAACTCCACGACTGGAACGATGTCGCATAACTGCGTAGTACATCTTCAAGCACTCTGTTCACGCGCTCCGTTTGCCCATCCGTCTCTGAATGGGCTGCCGTAGACATAAGCAGTCGCGTGCCCAATAGTTGAAACAACGTTGCCCAAAAAGCTGATGTAAAGCGCGGGTCGGGGTCCGAAACAATTGATTCAAGCAAGCCGTGATGTCGAAATATGAGATCGATGAAGATCTTCGCGGTCGTCTCCGCCGTAACGTGCGCGGAGACTGGAGAAAAATGCACCATTTTGCTAAATCGATCCACAAAAACCAATACGCCCGTGCGTTTCTGTTCGTCCGGAGGGAGACCAAAGATGAAATCCATGCTGACCGAACGCCAGACTTCCGTGGCAATCGGAAGCGGACGCAATGGAGCTTGTGAAGACGGCGCAGGCTTCACACGCTGGCATATTTCACAAGAGCGTACCCATTTCTGGATGTATTTGTACATACGCGGCCAGAAAAACACACGAGAGATGGCCGCGAACGTCTTCTCGCGACCCAAATGACCACCAGTTGTAGTGTCATGATATTCATGCACCAATCGTGCGCGGAGGTCGTTATCAGCAGGGATAACGACGCGCGGTGGGTCCAAAACGTCCATTGTATAAGTCAGCAGCGGACCATCAAGCGCGTACCGCTTGATGTTGTCACGCGTTGGTTTCGTCAACTTCGCGAGTGAACCCTCACTAGGGTGTCGAATATAATTGATGATTCCCGTATAGAATGAATCGTTCGCATATGACTCAGCGATTTGAGTCCGGATTGACAGCCCAGGTGTCGAAATCATTGCATTGAGCCCCTGCTCAGCACAGCATAAACAAATGTCGTCGTCCTCGTCTTCAGCAATGCCTGGCTGATGACCCATGTCACGTCGAGGATCATAATCGGGACGTCGAGAAAGCGCGTCAGCAAGAATGTTGTTCTTGCCGGGTTTGTAAAAGACCACGAAATTATACTCTGAAAAGTATGACAACCAACGTGCCATACGCTGGGACAAGTGGGGAGTCTTGACGGCGGTACGCAATGATGCGTGATCTGTATAGACCGAAAACATCTTCTCGCCGAGCAAATATAATCTGAGCTTGATCAGCGCGTAACGCATAGCCAAAAGTTCCTTGTCATGTACCGAATAGTTCCGCTCTGCGGGTTTCATCTGTCGTGACTGAAAGCTCACGACGCGCTCTCGGCCCTCATCGTCAAACTGCATGAGGGCACATCCAATAGCGAAATTACTCGCATCACAGACGACGTGAAATGGCTTGGAATCATCAGGCAACATCAGCACTGGTGCTTCAGACAAGCTCTTTTTCACAGAGTTGAAGGCAGAGTGATGTTCAGCTTTCCATGACCAAACTGCGTCTTTCTTCAGTAGAGTCGATAGCGGCTGGATTAGTTCTGCATAGTTCTTCGTATACTTATGCAAGTAATTGGCCAAGCCAAGCCATTGGCGTACTTCCGTTTGGTTCCTGGGCGTAGGCCAGGAACATATCGATGACACTTTCTCGGGATCAGCACGGACACCCTCCTTGCTAACATAGCATCGAAGAACTGGAATCTCGGGAGCACAGAAGACACACTTCTTCAAATTTGCGTACAGTTTGTTCTCGCGCATTACTTGGAACACCTGTTTCGAATGCCGAAGGTGGACCTCCGTAGCGCTGAGTTGTTGCTCAGCGCGGCTGTGAACGAAAATATCGTCGAAATAACTTGGAGCGAAATCACGTAGTGGCCGAAGCACTTGTGTCACCATCCGTTTACATGTTGCTGGAGCGTTCTTAAGGCCTTGTGGCATGACTAGCCATTCCCAAAGCATCCCACTCTGTGTGCTGACAGCGGTGAACGGGATAACACTGTCCCTCATTAAAAAATCTGGTAAAACTCGTCTGTCAGGTCTATGGCGCTAAAAATCTCGCTGCCGGACATGGTATCCAGTACCATGTCTTTCCGAGGAATTGGTGTTTGAGTCGGGATCGTGGCGTCATTCAACTTGTTAAAAGCATGCACGATGCGCCAACCGCCGGTGGCTTTCTTCACACAGAAAGTCGGAATCGAATGTGGCGATATGCTTTCGCGGACGTGTCCTGCCTTATGGCGGCCCTCAAAAAATTCATCAATTGCGATGACTTGGTCACGCGGTAGCGGCCACTGCCGCGTCACGCAATACTTCGATCCTGGCACGAGATCGATCTCGTGTCGCACACCACGATCCGCTGGAATCTCAGCGGGGATATTCTCCGGAAAGATGTCGGCATACTCACGCGCGATATCATAGACAGGGTTGCCCGAAGCACGAAGGGCTTCCCAAGACTGTGTCACGAAACGTTCTTCGCGCGCTGATTTGGGCTCAGCGCTCTTTGGGCGAGCCATCAGAACTTCTCCAATGGCTGCTTCGGCGGCTGATATGATGCACACTTTCTCGATGTCGCCGGCCTTGAGGTCGTGAAGAAAATCTTTCCATGGTAGGGTTAATAGAGATGTGATCTCTGCAACAGTGCACGGAGGTCTCGCTACCTCAACGTAGCGGCCACGATGGGAAGACCCTTCCACATATTCAAGCGCACAAACGGATTCCGTCAATACAGTATCATCGTCAACGGCGCTTGAGCGAGAATTTCGTCGTCTTGGTGATCGGCGTGCACCTTTCTTGCATTTACGCTTTCTCTTGCGTCTTGAGCCACTGATCGAGGCTGGAACGTCGCTGTCGCTGGAGGATGAAGTACCCCCCGCTAGACGTGGGAGCTCTGTCTCCACCACGTCGTTCACATTTAAGTCCACGGCCCGTTCATTCTCGTCGATAAGAGGCGGGGGCTCGTCGTCGACCGCCTCAGATGTATGTGGGAGCCTCTGCTCGACCACCTCGGTTACAATCGGGAGCCTTTGCTCGGCCGTTGTGTGTGTATGCGGGAGCCCCTGCTCGACCGCCTCGCTAGAACTCGGGAACCCCTGCTCGACCGAAGTCCGTGTGTGCGGGAACCCCTGTTCGACCGCCTCGTTGTGAATCGGGAGCCCCTGCTCGACCGATGTCCGTGTGTGCGGGAACCCCTGTTCGACCGCCTCGTTGTGAATCGGGAGCCCCTGCTCGACCGATGTCTGTGTTTGCGGGAACCTATGTTCGACCGTCTCGTTGTGAATCGGGAGCCCCTGCTCGACCGATGTCTGGGTTTGCGGGAACCTCTGTTCAACCGCCTCGTGTTGTGGTTCTATCAGTGTGACTGAACATACCGGACACAGAGGGCCATCGCTCTCTCTGTGCTGACTTCTAGTCGTGGCGAGTTCGTTCACGACCCTGACGTGAGGCCAATCGGATGGCGCTACCAACAGATGAGTGAAAACTTTACTTACGTCGTAACCGCTTCGTCGTTTGACGGACCGAGATAGCCAGTCTATCGTCGGCTGATATCGTGACAGCCACGGTATCCCCAAGATGCAATCGAATGCATGATTCATCTCGTACACCAAAAATTCGTCATTAATTTGGAAGCCGTCGAACGTGTACGGCAAAACCACTGTTTTACGCGGGACACGCTGTGGTTGTCCATCAGCAAGTTTGACAACGATGTCACCTGGACCTTCTCGAACCGTAACTGTCGACGAGAGAAGGGACAAACATGATGCTCGAAAGAAGTTGTTGGATGCACCCGAATCCAACAACGCTCGAAGTGGTCGTTTAACTCCAGCAACGATGAGACTGATAATTATCAGTCTCGAATCGTCGCGCATAGTGGTGGCATTGAAGTGGGTATGTATCACTTTAGGGCTAGGAGCCCGAGCTGCCACCTGAGTACTCGGGGCTCCATTACTGCCAGTAGGGCGCCCCGCACCTACTGGAACCGCTCTTTTTTTTTGGCGGGACCACTGACGACACAGTATCTCCACGTGAGACAGCTGTGTTCATGGACACCGGCGCTGGTGCTCGGCAGACGGCCGCACGATGGCCAGTCTTGCCGCACCGATAACACTTCATCGTGTTTTGACTTCGAATGTCGCGGCCAAATTGCTTGCCGCGACCACGAGATGCATCGATAACGTCAATTTCCATAGGCTCTGGGCCAGACGTACGCGGGAGTTGCGACGCTGCCTGCAAATATGACGATGCGACCGTGTAATCTTCACGAAGCGCGAGGGCAAATGCCTCCTCAAGAGTCTTAGGTTCAGCACGTGTGAGGCAATAGCGGGTCATGCCCTCTTGCATACCAAAGACAAAGACATGAACTTGCGAAGCCATGTCGATCGGCTGCGTGATGATACACGAAGCAAGATGTCGCGTCTTCTGTACGTAATCACGCATCGACAGCTTGCCCTGTCGAAGTGAAAAGAAATCTGCGCGCAAGCGTGACTCATCTTGAGGGGGCTTGAACGCCAGTCGTAAGTCGCGCTGGAGATCGTCCAGCGTGGGGAATGCCAACTCGTTTACAACGAACTTCCCAAGAGCCCATTCTTTGGCTTTACCAACAAGCCGAGACAGTAGGAAATTAACCTTGGCCGTCGAAGCGTCAATCAACCTTGACGCTATGGCGATATCAATCTCCCTAAACCAGCGATTAAGGGGGAGACGATCTGGACCATCACCAGAGTATGTCGACGTCTCCATTTTAATTGCATCGTAATGGGAGGGGCGCGAGGGAGTATGTACTCGCCGGTTCGCTTCGGCGAGCTCGCGCACCATGTAGTCTTGAATGGCGGCACGGTGTTGTTCGGGCGTCGCTGTGCTCAGCAGCGACGTCTCGAAGATTTCACCAGACACCGCCGCGAGGCGGTGTAATGCCTGCCATTCTACCGTAGTGAGATGGGGAAAATCTGCATGCTCCAGCGAAACTGCTGGAGCCATCGAAGATTCACTCATATCCATCTCGAACTTGTTTATGGGAAGGACTACGAAGTGCTACCAGGTGTAACGGGGTGAGAGCCCGTTACCGTCTTACACTAATAATTAAGCTGAGGAAGCGCTGTGATTTATAAGGTAAATTTAACTCTGTTTGTATTTTTGTGTTTTTATAATTCGCAGTAAGTGTGAATATGTTCCCTAGCTCATGGGAACCACTCAAATACAGAACTAATTATTATTGGCTAATTATTGGGTCTGGCACCCCAATAATAAACCAATAATAAATAGACGCGCAGTATCCGCTATCCGGATACTGCCTACACTTAATGTATGTAATTATGTAATAAAACTATGACTACTTAATATAATGGGTTGCCCCATTACACCTTAAGTGGGTTTAAGAGGTTAAAATGGCCATGAACGCAGCAATTCCCCAATCAAACCAGCAGCGAGTTGGGCTGGATACCTCAAATTAGGTGGTCGAGTCAGAGAGTGGGCGCTTACATGTTGCACGTCTGTGGACACGGCTTTCCCCACATTAAATTTGCAATGTAAGCAATAACCCGGTTGTTTGATCAGTCCAATCAGGTGTAGTGGAGTGGGCTGTCAAAACTGTTCGAAGAAACCCCAAATTACTCACTGTGCCGGACTGCCGACTGTCGGAGGGTGTACCCCGATGCCGCTTGTGGACCTTGACTCACCTTGTGTACACCCGTCAGCTTAGCGGGTTTTAATCTTCGGAGGGCTTGGTGTTAATGTAGACGTCGGACTTGATGAAGGTCGACCTGGGAGGCCGAGAGGATATGCATCTGTAGGGGTCCAATGTAGGCGGCCACTCGATCGACTTGGTCGAGAGTGGTCTTGTCACCAGATTTTGCAGGTGCTCGTGGCGCCAGGCCTTTAATTGTATCACGGGTGTTAACTGCATGGACTTTATGTGTCTTCTCCCTTACTAATAGGGTATGGAAACCGCTTCCTAAAGCGGGCTTAAGTTGGGGGGGGGGTTACTCTACGAACCCACAAGCCAATGTACTCCCTGAAATTCTTCTTACGCTTGGGCATTAATGACGAATGGCTTTTCGACGGGTGGGCCAAACCGATCCTGTTCCGGAACATGTCGGTAGATTTACAATTCTTTTTAGCGCACGACACGTCGTGCTACTTAGATCGCAAATTGAGTAGTATTTAATGCCGCCCTATTCTTTAAGCTCCTTTACTCTATCCTTGCCTTGAGCCTGGGCTCGCTATCATCAGTGGCCAGGAGCCACCAGACCTTGAGAGGCCAAGTCGACCTATGGGCGACCAGGTCGGCCGATAGATGACCAGGTCGGCCTACGAATGACCGAGGCCCACCTTGGGCGACCAGGCCGACCTATGGGTGACCAGGTCGACCTACGGGGGATCGACGTCCACCTTGGGAGACCAGGGCCGACCGACGAGTCGTTGAGAAAGATCCAGGTAGGACCGTTTAACTGGTACCGTTGGTCGGTTTGATCCCGTTTTCAGTAACCTTAACCGCTCTTCATGGTTGGACCCAACGGCCGCTCCTTACCTGTGACCCCCAAGTGTCCGGTCCCTTTCTTGTCCGCGAGGTCCCAAGTCCTTCCGAATCATCGACACTTAAGACCATTAAATCTGAAAACTCGCTTTACCAAAGCTGCCCTATGCACTTGCTCGACCGTACAGCGCTTCGAGCACGAGCATGTCTTCACCACGCCTGTCCCGTAAATTTCATTTTCTCTTGTAACCAACATATTTTCATCGTCCAACCCGTGTGCTTGCAGCGATGTCTATACCTGTATCCTTTTCACTATCTGAAGGTCCGGTTTTGACTCTTCCGGCACGTGCCTCGCCCTCGCCGCGTAGCCAGTGGTTCCCTGGCTGCGAAGAGGCGTCGGACACAGTCTACCTGTTGGACGCTCTTCATCTCACGGACTCTACGTGGCAATGGATCTCCCAGTACAGAATTACCTCTGAGCCCCACCCAGGAACCAAGATCGCTCAGCTTCAGAACAAGTTCGTTCCTCCTTCTTAGGGGTAATCGCTTGAGGCACAATGCTTTCATAATGTTTTACATTCACATTGTCCGCTCATTGCTCAATAGCCACTCTGCCATATTATTTTCTTTGTCAGCCAGCGTTGCATTGCTTTGGTCATCCATAAGAAGTCGCGGATGACTCCATATAAACCACGGTATACCTTAGGATACACTTATTCACTCCTATCGGGTCATGATCAACTTCTGCATAGCGTCAACGGAATTTATGGGTCGCTAACAGAGGTAATGACCAATCCACATATGACCAGGCCGACCATTGGGCGACTTTATTCCTTCCCCACGACTTTTCTTCGTGACTCTGAATCACCTCAAAACGGTTAAAGTTAATCACGTTGCGTTCAAGCTTTCTTAATAAAGCTCCACAATTCAAATACACTTCATTGACCCAGGAGGGGTCCGCATGACCCTTTCAACGGATTAAGAACTTACGCCGCTAACGACCGTAACGTGTCTTCTTGTTGACACGGCTTTCTAAAATCTTTTTCACTTCGTATTCGCCTTCCTCCAGCTCGCGCGCCCAGCTATCCTCCAGCAACAAGCATTCGTCAAAGTCTATTCGGTCGGCCTCGTCCTTTGTCAGTCAGTCAATTGGGCTATCAGGGAAGTCCCTGACCCTTTTTAGCTTGAAGATGCGAACTATCGAGAATAATCTGTACTGCGTATTTCTTACTCTGAACCGCGCTGTATACTCACCCATCAACGCCAAAACTCGAAGCGGACACATGCCAGAGGTGAGACAAATTTTTGGCGTCCCCCTCCTTCACACGATCTAGGTAGAGCCACAATTGGATACCTAACCGAACCGTGCGACCCACCACTTGTTTATATGAGTTAGCACCCGGGCTCGACAGGCCGACCGCAAATGCTCGTTTACCTGTTCTCTTGCACTCTGGTAGTGACTCTGGATATGACACCTCCTTCTTTGAGCTCCCGACCCTTTTCATCTAGTGCTCACCATTGGCAACGTTGCTTTCAGAATGATTCTAGCGTCCCACCCGTGGGACAAAAAAAGGTGTATCTTTTCGCACCCTATAGTGTGCAGTGTTAAGTGCGAATGCCAGCCGCTCTATGTCTTCGTCCCAATCTTGCTGTACCACATCTGAGACATACATCTTGAAAGATCTTTTTAGGGTTTGGACCATTCTTTCCGCGGTGCTGTTCGCCTGGGTTCGGTAAGCCATCGTCGCCCGTTGACGCTGACCCACCATGCGATTGAACGCTCAAAAGAAGTCCGACATGACACCGGGTTCCCGGTCATGGCGGATCACCTCGCTGGCTCCAAAACGCCAAAAAACATTTCTCTTACCCATCGGCTACCGTCTGAGCAGTTCGCGAAGCACTTGCCTTGGCCATCACATACCCAGTAAATAATTCGACTCAATCAATATTTTAGTGTTTCCCCTACGTTACATATGCAAAGAGGGGATATGGTCCTTTGCTATGACTTGGAAAGGGTAGATTGCCTCGACGTTGCCTGGGGTTATCCCGTGAAGGGTAGATCCCCCTTTTCCCGTTTAGCAATTCACACACAATCCCAAACACCTCTGTACAATTCGAAACAATCCTCTCCAATGACAATATCGACGAATCTGATAGTAGGCGCAACCGACTCCTTGATGACCGCCTTACAAAATAGAGTAGTAGTGATGTAACGCGCCTGTCTGGAGGGATTTGGGGATCACTAGTCGGACGTTCATTTCTCGATCGCCCTCGTCGGTCTTATGAACGGGGCAGTATACAAGTTATCCTTCTTTACTGACTCCAAATTCTCTGGCCATTTCGCTGCATGCCTATGCCGATTCTGCCGATAGGCCGCCTAGGTCCCCTTTTAAATATGCCTTCACATCCACTATCCATCTTCCCTCCTCTTGAGCCGTCCGGATACGTTTCACTCGCAGCTGTTGTATAACATAGCACTTGAATTGTTTTTCCGTATATTCTGATGGGTAGCCCGGATCGGGTCACTGCGGATGCTCTCGCCGTCAGATCCTGGCCTTTGGGGGGCAGCAGGTCCGGCAGTCGGTCGATCACTTCCAACCCTGGTCACTCTTCCCTCGGTACTGACTCGACCCCTCCTTGTATGTGTAATGCTGCACTAGCCAGCTGGTCCACACTCTGGTTCCAATCACGCTTTACGTAGAAAGTCCAAAACTCTGATCAGAGCTCTTGCACGCAATGAAGAAAGCCCTGACGCTTTGCACTCGATTTCTCCGCGCATCTGCCGGACAACCAGATTGGAGTCTAAAAAAACGATTAGTTGCCGTCGTCTCAAAGTTTCTAACAACTCAGATCCAGCAACATGCCAAACGTTTCGGCCTCATTCACCGTGTATTCCTCGAGATATTTGATGGCAGTACTTACTACCGGCCACGTAGGAAGGCTCCATACGACGGCGCTACAATCCCCTCCTTCTTATTTCACACGAGACGATACATCAAAGCTCAGTACACGTAGCTTCTTGTCTTTTTCCACACTAAGCTATGCAAGTAAATCGTCTGCTTCGCCTGTTTCTTGGGTTTGATAGCCGATAGGACCGAGTCTACACTCTCGCGGGGGATAATACTGGCTGCTAACGCTACCAGCACCCGGCCTTCGCCTTTCTTGTACTTCACAATCTCTGAAGTCCACTAAGACAAGAAAACGGCCTAATTTCTCAAACGCACCTGCAATCCAGAGGATTTATTACCGAGGTCAACGTCGAGTGTCTCGTTAATACTCTTTAGAGGTCAGGTGAACAATATCGTAAACAAGTTTCCATATTCCGCAATAACGTTAACACCTCTTTCTCCACGGTATTGTAGTTAGACTCGTTGGCTTTGGTGTCCGGCTCGTGAAGGTCACTGGCGTAATTAAGCCTTCATTGTCCTGCACCAAAGAAGCTGAGATGACCCATTCGCTCAAATAGACATTAATCACCGCTTCTTTCGATGGGTCCGAATGCCGCAAAATAGGCGCTGCAGTAATCTTTTTCTTGAGCAAAGCGAAAGCCACTTGAACTCGAGACCATTTCTCTTCGACTTCACCCGTAGTCACTGAGTGGTGACCATCTTTACACTTCTGTCGCCACTCGTGGAAGTCCACCTCTTTCAGCTCATATAAGACCGACACAAATATAGCATAATTATCCATAAACCTGCGGTAGTAATTCAGACTCCCGAGTAACGACTTCATGACCTTGAAAGTCGCTGGTAGAGGCAAATAGACTATTGCTTGGAGTTCCTTGAGGTCGGCTTTCAATTCTTCTCTGAATACCGGTGGACGAGGTAGTCGGCTTTTTGACATCCCCACGAACTCTTGACTGTTCTAATTGACAAAGTCCAGTAGTCGCACACGTCCAACAACCGTTCCACCTTGTCGCAAAACACGTTCCAAGATGTAGCGGGTATGTGTCTGTCATCTATGTACGACCGACGTCATAATATCGAGGGGCCTGATTCTGTGTCTGGTTCCCCAACGAGAAACAAATCTTCTAGCTCATCCAATCTGGTCCCTGAGGGTATACGTAATAACCCGTATAATGCGTTGTACAAAAGTCGCTGATAGACCTGTGGTGCATTCTTGAGTCCGTGTAACGGGGTGAATCGTTACATAACAATTTATAAGAAATTGTTAATAGAATATAACTATAAGAGTTATATTCTCAGAATATTGTCATAAGGACAATATTCTGTAGCACTTCCAAGTAGTTCCTAATTGGTTGATATAGGCCATTATATCAACCAACGAAGACGCGCCACGACAGACGCACGCAATGAGTGGTGAGCAGATAACTGATTTACACATTTGTATTTAGACATAGTTAGATGAAGATAAATAGTGATTTATTGCAGACATTAACTATTATAAATACAGTTCTACTTTTTACTCTAACCGAGTACTCGCTTCTTCTTACCGTCTTCCTCTGCACGTACGAGTGTACGTGAAGTTACGAGGCACCGCCTTATTCTGTTATCAGAATAAGTAGCTTGTACTGTCACCAGTACAAGCTTCAGGGTGCCCCGTTACACCTGGTAGCACTTCGTAGTCCGTCCAAGGACCGCGTTCACATCCAACATGAATATGTTGGATGATGAAGATGACCAAAGCTTTCACGCTACGCGTGACGGCTACTCCCATTTGAGCGATGTCGAATGGGATGCGGTTGAACGAATGGGTTCGACCATGGGCATCCATGCTGTTAGCGTCATGCTAGAGGCTCTCAATAGAGATGCCCAACATGCTACTATCGCCAAGTTCATTCAAAATGAACTTGACGCAGAACGCGAGAAAGTAGCCTTGCTTCACCAACAAGGTTCTCAACAAGCAGAGTTGTTGAGAAAACAAGGTGCTCAACAGTTTGAACTGTTGAGACAGCAGCAAGCTGCTGCTGGCGGGTCGATGCACTCGCGTCGACCCGAGACTTTGAAGATTGACATCTCAAAGTATAGGGGGGTCGAAGAAGACTCCCTCTTGAGATGGTTCGTCGAATTGGATGACGCCATAAGGGCGCGTCGCGTCGACGACGGGGATATGCAAGTTGCATTTGCCCAGTCAAATCTGGCAGGACGTGCCAAGACTTGGGCACTGGGGCTCAAGCTGCACGACCCATATGCGTTTGGGTCGTTGGAAGTCTTCAAGTCGCGGCTCAGACAAACGTTTGAACCGCCTAGAGCTGAGTTCAGAGCTCGAACCGAACTCTTGAAGCTCAAGCAGGGTAAGCGTGATGTGCACGCTTACGCTCAACATATACGACATCTCACGAGTTGTATAAGTTCCAATCCGGTGGATGAACACACGTTGGTTTCGGTGTTCATGCAGGGTCTTGCGGATGGTCCCGTCAAGACTCACCTGTTCCGGCTTGAACTAGATTCACTAGAACAAGCCATTTCCATTGCGGAGCAGGAAGACTTCAGTCTGAGACAGGCTCGCGCCAGCTCGACATCATATCGTCAACCGAGACGATATGACAACGGAAGGTCCAGAGCCGATGGAACTCTGTTATGTAGAGAGCGAGAAGGCTCGCTCTACAGGCTACAAGAAGTTGCAGAGATGCAACAGATGTCAAAAGACAGGACACTACGCTTACGAGTGTAGTGCCCCTCGTCCAGTGTCTCGCGACACTGGGCGTAGTGACCGTCCACCCATGAGAAAGGGGCAGGGACGAGGGTCCGCAGTTGGTGCAAAGACGCAACAACGGGATGGACCGTCAAAAAACGGACAGGATCAGTAGGTGCGGAGCACCCTACTGATCCAGCAACGTCAAGAGAATTTGTAGGCCTCTTGATGAAGGTTGCTCCCAACACACAGACATTGTGCGTTGCTGCTCTAGGTAATGAGATCTCACTCATTACCTTGAAACTCGAAGTGACGAATAAGTTGTCCCTTCGAGCTCTAGTCGATTGTGGGGCGTCCAACAATTTTGTGCGACGCCAATCGCTAGAAGATAGTCACTTTAAATTCAGTGAATGTGACACACCTCCTACGAGGATGACGGTACGTCTTGCGACAGGCGCATCCGTAACCGTCATGAAGCGTATAGTGAAGATTCACTATACGCTAGAAGATACCCAATACGACGATGACTTTATCGTATTGGATTTGGATGACAAATTTGATGTCATCCTTGGAATACCGTGGCTCAGAAGGTACGAACCACGGGTAAACTGGCAACATCGGACAGTAACGATGCCTGCCGCTTGTTCATCAGATGGCCATCTGATGAACGTTTTGGAAACGTCCACAAGCGTGTGGATGTACTACGAGTGAGTGCGATGGCCTCACTTGTGGTACGGTCGTTAGTACGACTGCACAAAACCTTAGTGTACCAAACGGTTACACTTCGGAGCAAAGTTCCGGCGGCTGTGAGGAAACACAGGCTGCGCCGAAGGTCCACCACTCGAATAAGTCGGGTGGACTGGGACAAAGATGTATCCCTAGAGGGGAACATCTAGAAGAGAAACAATCGATCGCTCAGGTTAAGCGAAACGATAATCCTAGATCGACTGGAGAGTCTTTCGTAGAGGATCTCGCTGTGGTTGCGCAACCCCAGCTAGAGGAAGTAAAGGGAATAAGTCCCAAGATTACAAATACGGCGGAAATAAGTTCCCCGAAACCCGCGGGAATAAGTCCCCGGGAAGACGAAGGAATAAGTCCTTCGAAGCCTGAGGGAATAAGTCCCCAGGAAATGACAGAGACATTGAATGTCATAGTCAATAACGGATCAAGTGTAGGCGCTTATACACTTGATCTGATTGCGCCTCCGAAGTTAACTTCGGAGATCACTCAGTTGCCAACGCTCGAACATAAAGATTCTTGCGTGATCTGCGTAGTGGCAAAGTCAAGCAGATCTGCATACTCGTCGCTGACGACGAGTATGTAACCGACATAAGGTCAGCAACAGTGTTTACTGAGAACGAGAGAGTTCTCAGTAGTTCATCTATGGACGAGAGTGTCCTAGATGAAAAGACACGAATTGAGCGATATGAGTCCCAATCATGGGAATCGCTCAAGGAAAAATCCTCTCTATGAAGATTTGGTTGAATTCAAGGATGTATTCCCTGAAACTGTTCCGTGCGAATTACCGAAGGATAAAGGTATTCGACACGAAGTCGAGCTTAAACCAGGCTCGAAGTACTGTGTCATGAAGCAGTGGCCACTGCCTCGTGAACAAGTACTTGCGATCGACAAGTTCTTTGCCGATCGTTTAGCAGCGGGCCATGTGAGGGAATCAACTTCCCCACATAGCTCTCCGACCTTCTGTGTGCGAAAAGCAACAGGAGGGTGGCGGATAGTGCACGCGTTTAACAAATTGAACGCTGCAACGGTACCGGCTCAGACGCCGATACCGAGGAAGGACGTAATCATTGATGGTATGTCAAAGAGTACCATCTTTTCGTCCATGGATTTGATGGATGGCTTCTATCAAATCCTAATGCGGGAACAGGATATACCCTATACCGCAGTTAGCACGCCTAGCGGCATGCTCTGGGAATGGCTAGTAATGCCACAAGGGCTCAGTAATGCCCCTGCCACGTTCAACAGGTGTGTATCACATCTGTTGAGGCCAATACGAGAATTCGCGCCGAGTTATTTCGATGACGTATTCATCCATAGTCGAGCTATGGATGGAAAGTCGGACGTTGAGGTTCACAAGTACCACGTCCGACAAGTTCTTACAATCATGCGAAAGCATCAATTGTATGCAAACCTCAAGAAGTGTATATTTGCAGCAAGCGAAATACCACTTCTTGGGTGCATCGTTGGTAAGAACGGTGTACGTCCTGATCCCGAAAAGATCAAGGCGATCACCGACTGGCCCGTGCCGGTCGATGTCAAAGGTCTTCGAAAATTCCTTGGGCTAGCGGCGTATTTGCATAAGTATTCACGCAATTACGCCGAGATGACTGTACACCTCTCTCGTTTGTTGAAAAAGAACGAGAGGTGGTTATGGAACGCTGAATGTCAACGCTCCTTTGAGGGTATCAAGCAGAGCTTGATACAATCCCCAGTCCTAGCAATAGCCGATCAGGACAGGCCATTTCATGTGGTCTGTGATGCCAGCGATTTCGCAATCGGCTGTGCATTAATGCAGTACGACCTTGAAGGCGTTGAACGCGTCGTCTGCTATCAGTCGCGTCAGCTGCAACCAGCTGAGCGGAACTATCCAGTGCATGACAAGGAACTCCTTGCCATGAAGTATGCACTCGCGAAGTTCAGAGTCTATCTATTAGGAGATAGACCCTTCGTTGTTTACACTGACCATGCGTCCTTACGCACGGCAGTGAACAGCCCGCACCTTTCACAACGAATGGCGCGGTGGTTGTCATTCTTTGCAGAATACAACTTTACGGTCGAGTACAAACCAGGACGACTTAATGTCGTCGCTGATGCACTCTCACTTCGTCCCGACTTTGAAACAGTCGCGAAACCCAACAGTGAGACAGTCACTGTTGCGGTTATGACGTCCTCAGTTCCATCTACAACGTTGTATGATGATGTGAGGCGGGCATACGCCCAAGATGGTGAGATAGTGAAGTTGTTGTCACATCTCTCCCAACCATCTCGAGAATCGTTGAAACGATTGTCGTCTGCGTATCGATCTGCATCAGATCGATACACTACTCGTAACGGTTTACTGTACTATACAGCCGTTTCTGGTGACACACCACGTGTTGTCATTCCAGATGATATTGATCTGCGTTTGCGGATCATGTTCGAGTATCACGATGCTCCTATAGGAGGACATCGTGGCCGAGAAAAAACATATCTCACGGTGAGTCGAGACTTTTACTGGCCCCGCCAGTATCAGTTTGTTCGAAAGTATGTTCGCGCATGCGAAGTCTGCCAACGAGTGAAGTCAAGTCCTTCACTGCGTGCACCTTTACAGCCTCTACCGGTTCCGGCTGAGTGCTGGGAATCCATCTCAATGGATTTCGTCTTCAGGTTACCCAAAGACGCACGCGGGAATACGGGTATTCTCGTATTTGTTGACAGACTCAGCAAAATGGGTACACCTTGTGGCTGTACCAGAGACAATCACGGCAAGTGGCTGTGCTTGTGTCTTTATTGACACCATCTTCCGACTTCATGGGTTGCCCCGTGAACTCGTATCAGACAGAGATCCACGATTCACTGCTGATTTCTGGCGTTCCGTGTTCAAATCACTCGGAACGCGCTTGAAGATGTCAACATCTGATCATCCAGAGTCAGATGGTCAGACGGAACGTGCCAATCGTGTCCTTGAAGAGATACTTCGAGGATACGTACACTCCTTTAAGAGTTGGAGTGAGTTTTTGCCGATGGTAGAGTTTGCCATCAACAACTCGGTGCATGCGTCCACGACACATACACCGTTTTACGTGAATGGCTTGCGCCATCCGCGTGTACCCACCTTACTAGAGTGTAACTCTGGTTTAAGGGGGGAGGGACTCGCGCGAGCAAAAACCGATTTGGTTCACGCTCATCACGCTCTGACGAAGAAGTCATTGCGTTTGATGCCGATATCGATAACATCGATATCGAAGAAGATGATGCCAGTGAGAGTGCGGAAGCCCTCACTGAAGACAATGATGCCAGTGAGAGTGCGGAAGCCCTCACTGAAGAAAAGGTTGTTGTCGCTGCAGTGCGCTCACAGCACACTGAAGCTAACGAGTCATCAGATGAGTTCATACTGGCTCGTGAAACGGTAGTCCGTTTTGTGCAAGACTCCATCGCCGAAGCGGTGGATAAGCAAAAAGCAAAACGCTGACAAGAATGGAAGGGCAAACACTCTTTTATTTAATAAAGGTGACTTAGTCCTACTGTCTACGGTTAATCTACCAAAACATGTAGTGACTAACTTGGGTAGCAGTAAACTACTACCCAAGTACATTGGCCCATTTCGTGTATTGCACCGCCTAGGCAATGCATACACGATCGAGTTACCACGTAAGATGCGAACGCATCCCACGTTTTACGTTGGTCGGCTTAAGCCGTACCATCAGTACGCTGCTTCTTCCGATGAAGAACGCCCTTGCGCTCAAGCATCTCGCAGAGAGCCTTGTGCTCCCGATGGTGGGCATCAACAAGGGTCTGAAGAGCAGTTATCTCAGCCCGAGACCGATCAACAATCCCACGAGCTACCCTTAGCTCGTCACGAAGAGATGTCAGAGATCTCTCGTTCTCAAGCTGAGCAAAGGCAAACTCAGCTCGATGCTTCGAGACAGTGTCCGCCATCTGGAGACGCCTATTCCGCTCATGCTCGAGATCGTCGCGTAACCCTTGCGTTACGCGATCAAAGAAGCTCTCGGGAACACACCGATCCACATGATCGTGTGGAGAGCGTCTTTCCTCCTCCTCCACCTCCATTAGAGGACTCTCGCGGTGGCCAGCGCTATCTAGTAGAGCAGCTGTTGAACCACCGCGACGTGAACGGACGTCGGACGAGTTACCTCGTCCGGTGGCGCGGCTATCCCCCGTCCTGGGATTCTTGGGAGCCCCGCTCCCAATTGATGGTTGACGTACTGGGTCTGGTCGAGCAGTACGACGCGACACATCCTGTGCCGCAGAAGGACCGCCGGAGAAAGTCTTCCCGGCACGGTCGTAAAGGGATTTCAGGTTGTCAATCCCTTCGTACATCTCAGTAGAGAACACGTACGCGCCACCACGGGCTGGTAAGGAGGTAAGCCTCCTTAGGTGCTCGTGCAGAGTTGTTCACACAACATGGGCACGAGTCTCCCCAAGAGAGGCAGGGTAATCCTTTCTCCCTTGACAGACGATGCAGCTTATAGCGTGCACCTGTCGGGGTTCGCTTTTCAAACTTATCACGAGCTTTGATAAGTTTGTCGTTCCAAGCGTCACGACCTACATCCTCGAGATTATGGATGTAGGCGTTCCACGCCTGAAGTAGTGAGGGACCATCACGTTTGTGATTCCCACTGTACCATCGATGTCTGAAGAAAGCATCGATGAAGAACTCATGTTCAGCGCGATAGTCTTTCGCGCTGGGGTCAAGTGATGAATCCTCGACGAATTGAACAATCGTGTTCGATAACGATCACTCGTCGTCGCCGACAAGTGATCCATGACAGATTTAGGAGGCATCCATGCCTTCTTTTCTGGAGCGAGACGCAACACATTGCGGTCCCGCTCTTCCTGCGACGTGCCGACAGAAGTACTGGCACCTCGCTGTGAAGTGGTGTCCATTGGAGAAACGACACCACTATTAGCGCCCGAGTCTCGCGACCTCGAGCGCCTTCGCTTCGGCGATGGTTCATCTGACTCATCAGATGAACCAAAGATGCTGCGACGCAAAGCATCGTCCATGCCACGCTTGGCAGGCGGCTTGGATTCAATTGCCGTCGATACGGATCCGTCATCCGTATCAGGAGAGTACGAGACACCGAGCTCGTACTCTGTGAAAGACACGAGTGTCTTCATGACCAGCGCCTGCATCACCAGGTGATACAGGCTGAGTCGATTCAGCAACCGATGGGACATCAGTTGCTGTAGTTTCTGCTTCGGCGTCCGCACAGAGACGTGCAGACGCGCTCTCGGCGGCCTTGCTCGCGCATCGCATGGGCTTGTTTACCATGCGATGAGATGTTGGAAAGTGGACGCGGACCAACAAGTGCAAACCCCGTCCCAAATGATTTGGGACGAGTATCCATTTAGTCAATCAGTCACTAAGGTGACTGATGGTTAGGGGGGGTGATGTAACGGGGTGAATCGTTACATAACAATTTATAAGAAATTGTTAATAGAATATAACTATAAGAGTTATATTCTCAGAATATTGTCATAAGGACAATATTCTGTAGCACTTCAAGTAGTTCCTAATTGGTTGATATAGGCCATTATATCAACCAACGAAGACGCGCCACGACAGACGCACGCAATGAGTGGTGAGCAGATAACTGATTTACACATTTGTATTTAGACATAGTTAGATGAAGATAAATAGTGATTTATTGCAGACATTAACTATTATAAATACAGTTCTACTTTTTACTCTAACCGAGTACTCGCTTCTTCTTACCGTCTTCCTCTGCACGTACGAGTGTACGTGAAGTTACGAGGCACCGCCTTATTCTGTTATCAGAATAAGTAGCTTGTACTGTCACCAGTACAAGCTTCAGGGTGCCCCGTTACAGTCCGAATGGCAATCGCAGCAATTCGAACAGTCCTAACGGTGTGACATAAGCTAAAATTAATCTTGCGCTCTCCGTCAAGCTGACCATCCAAAAACAGCTTTCTATATCGAGAGAGCAGTACCACAACGCACTATCCAAGTTTCCCAGTAAATCGTTAATCAGTGACATAGGGTTGTTGATGAGTTGAGTCAAGTTGTTTATCATTTGGTAGTCAATGCACAACCTGATGTCTATCCCATTCTTCTTCACGATAATTACTATTGGACTGGCCCACGGCGAGGTAGACGGTTGAAAAATCTTCGCTGACAGTAGACCCTTGATTATGTTGGCAAAAAGTTTTATCTGAACTGAGGGGCTATCTTTCGCACGCGTTGTGCAATCGGCATCGCATGTACCACGTCGATGTCACATGTGGCACCACGAGAGTCTGGTGGCAAGGCGTTGTCTTTTCCCATTAGCAGATGTCGCTTCTTCCGTACAATTTGCCTCAATCGATCCACCTCTTCAGGCGTGTTCCCATCCGAGACAGGGATCTGCATGTCTACAAACTCGATGCCTTAGGGCGAGGGGTCTACTTCTGGTATTACTGTTCATCTTTGACTGATTTTTTCGGCCCAGAGTTCTCCTCTCTCAAAAGTGCACATTTGTTCATCGGCTTGTGCTATGTTCTCGTGTTTCGCCTCTTTTTTTCTGGGGCGCTGGCCACCATATACTGAGTGAATGTGGACTCAATCGGCTGAGAAACGGCAGCTTTATAGAGGTTGGGTAGCGGAGGTCTATGATTTGCATGCTGGCAATTCCTCCACTGGCAGCTGTTGGGGAGAAACGTTCATCACCGGGGTGATCCTTTTCGGTCGCTGCAGAACATGTAATGGGGTATCATACTGGGGTTTTTCCAATGATGGCTGACCATCTTCCTCTATCGGCTTCAAACGATTGCCGCTCTGGTCGGTGGTAGCTTCGTATGCCAAATTCCATAACTCATCGTATCTTCGAGAGAATACAATGACGAACCCTAGTTTCCTTAGCATTTAATTCTTCGCTAGTAACATGCCAATCCTGGTGTCGTCATGTAGCCTTGGAAACTGTGTGTAGACATCGGTCACCTTAAAGAAATGACGTCGGCCTACCCCTCGGATCACCGCAGTGACCCACCGTTCTCCTCTTGTCACCCATATCACATCTGCTTCGATTTTGATCCTTTAGGGGTACTTCCACATACCCTCCAACCGGTAATTGTGCAAATTGGCCCAGCTCCACGTCGGTCACTCTGCAAACGTTAAGCGCTTGTCGGCCGTCCAGTTGTTTACGAACTTCATCTGGGAGTCAGAGTGCTCCATACCCCAGGTCTAAACAAATACCAGCGGGGATCATGAATTTCATCCCTAAAATTGCATCTTGGCTTTCCATCGGCCCGACCCATACCTTAAAGATATGTACCAATATTCTGTTCAGGGTGATCTTAATACGGGTGCGCTCTTCTGTGGTGATATATTGACTCCCTAATACCAACACATTCTTGTCTTGCACTTTCGTCAATCTGGCAACCTAATTTAGGAGCGAATGCGATATCCAAAATGGATATCTCGGCACCAAAATCAAATAACCAGATTTCGCGATCGTTATTGATTTTTCCAGAGACCTTGGTCTGCTTGAAGCACTTCTAAGGGGCATGGTCTTTCTATAGCCCCTTATTTCGCCTGGTAGTAGGTCCAATTCCATCACAGCATCTCCTCGAGCAAAGTCATTAGGGTCATTGAGGCAAGCAACATGAACCCCAGGGTAGCTTCCAATCCTCGGTATATTTCCAATATATTTAACTGCGGTATCCTCCTTGAGACTCTTTCTTCCTGTGGTACCTAAATCTTCTTTAATGCGCTTTTCCACATATACAAAGATATCACAATTAGAACGATTAACTTGTACCAGATTCACACCTGGAGATCGTTCTAATTTCTCATCTTCTCTGCCTTCTCTGGCAACATCCCGGCGTGCTTGGTCGGGCTGTACTTTTGACGGATCAAGTTGCAAAACTCCTCCATCTGGCACTTTCCAGCCTCGTGGGCCTCTCCACACCCTAGCACACAACAAACAACGATCCGTTGGTTGACCCCTTTTCCCACAGCGGTCACACGTGAGTCGTCTCCAGCAATCCAAATCTACATTTTTTCAAGATCCACAGTGAGTGCACTTCTGGTGTTGGGCGGACGACGTCGGGCGAGATCTCTGGTTACCTTCATGGTGACAATGATGGTCGGCCTCCCTAATGGCTCGGCATTAAGGGGTCTTCGCACCTGTGTTCCTCTGTCCTTCCATTGACATCAAGTGAATTCGCCTCAAGTCACCTTCTGCACTTGACCCGACCGATACCATATTGTCAGAACTCGACTCTTCCACTGTCGCCCTAATTGCCTGTGCCGACCAGCGATTTACTTTTCGTGGACGGTCGACTGGTACGGGTGCCTTTTGTCGAAACATGCTTGATCCAAAGAGCACCTTTCCTCGCCGCGCTTTCGTCCTCTGCCTGGATCTTAACACGTCTTCCACTTCGTCCGCATCCGCCAGACGCAATATCGTGAGCTGGTCCGCCAGCAATGGGTCGTCTAAAGTCTCGATGTAGTGCTCGACGTGTTCTTTTAGTATCTTGAGCGGTCCTTCCTTAATCTTGATCTTTGCCCTTAGTCCAGTCACATTAAGTCGGTACAGGCAGTCCAATGGTGACCCTTTTGACCTCTTTTCGCATGTTAGTGTTGGCGAGCAACTGGTACTCCCAACCGCAGAACTGCATCTAAAACTCTTGTAGGAGATCCTTCCAGCATGATCGAACCGAGTGACCCAGTTAGCGATACCAGTTTTGAGCTGGTCCAGTCATCAATCCACAGAAGACAAGACACATTTTATCGTCGGGCGCTTGATCTACCGAGAATGAGATTTTTATTCTGGTCACATAACTTTGTGCTAGGTTCTCGTCTTGATCTCTTCGTGGGAATCCTTGAGGTCAGATGTCGCTGCGAGTTTAATGCGAGGTGCTTTGTTGGGCATTTGTCCTACTGTAGCTGTCGTCATCCTCGCTAATGGTTTCTCCAATTCCATATCGTCAGGGTCGTATTCACACGTACCGACTAATTCCATCTCCACGTCAGTCATAGTACGTTGTCTCGAAGGTTGCGTCCAAATTCTCAGTACTTGTTGAAACTCTGTTTCCTGCACCCTTTGTGCCTCTGCGGTCGCCCTTTTATCATGGTATCCGTGTTGTACCTGGCGTTCCTGTAAAAAGCGTGCCATCGCCGCGTCGAAGCATGTCTGCAAGCTACCTACCGTTTTGGTAGGCGCATTCCCTCAGCATCTTCGTCACTTGGCGGTGCAAAGTTTTGGTAACGACCATGCTGTATTCCCACTATGTAAAAATTTACCCTATAAGGCGCTTGGATGATCCTTGGGTAGACATGTGTAGCCGTTTCGTGACAATAGTGATTGGTCGCTCCTCCCCTTGCACAAGCCTGGAGCATCGCTGATCCTGCCGGTATTAGTGTTATCCGATCGTACTGGTCAAGAGCAGACGAACCAAGCGACGACCGCTCATCCGCGTCTGGGAACCTGGCGGGAGAGTCGGTGGAGGAGGACGGCGCATCATCCTCGAGTTATCGAGCTGTGGTCATGCTTGTTGTTGGGCTTCGAAGTCTTGGAGCGTCATCAGGCTGTCGCGAGACGGCGTCGTCATTGGTTGCGCTGGTGGCACGTTCTTCGTTACGGTGGTGGTCTCTACCAATACCTCCAATCGCTCGTGCAACTTCTCCAACAGGCTCTTGATGCTATTAAAACCTTGATCGAACAACTTGCTTGGCTAGAGGCTTCCTGTAGCCATATGTGCCTCGTGGAGGAGGGTTATCAGCGCAGTGACCGCCTCTGTGACCGTTCGGAGGCGTGGTAGGGGTGCCACTGGTCGCCCTAGCTGTCCCTGCAGCTGGATATCAAGGCTTTTTACGACGAAGTCTCTTGTTAAGAGGTCGTCCAGCTTGCGTCGGTGGTAGGCGATCGTCACAGCTTCTTCCGACCAGGCTGGCGACCTTGCTTGGGCAGGGTCCACCGATTTGGACTCCATCGACATCTTCGTGTTTTTCAGCTTGGACCTGGCGGTCTTGGGGTGTTTTGGTTTCGATACATATTATTCCAGATCGCTTATTCGGCCAATGATCCGACTCCGTCTATGGTCCTGAGGTGTCGGGACTTATTGACTTGGTGTCCCCCAGCGCTTTATCCTGGTTTTCTTCGGCTTGGACTTAGCGACCGGAGGGGTTTGCTGTTTCGGGGACCATACGTTTTCGGTTTTCATCTTCGGTTGATGTTCTAATAGGACTTAGTAGGTATCATGACCTAAAACTTCCTCAACGAGGACATAGGGAGGGTGTCTAAGTTTTTCTAAAACAACTAAAATCTTGACTATGCTGACCGGACCCCACCCAAGGTCCGGTCGGATCTTCGACCCTTTGTTTTTGTCTTCTTGTGTCACTGCCTGTCGGTCTTCTAGTAATTCTTCGGTTATCGGTTCGATCATGACATTGGCGTCTTCTTCATCTTGGGACTTGCGGTGAATTCCCGCGTCTTACGAAGATCCGGGTGCGCGCACCATCGTGTGGAGTAGTTTGCCAAATTATTTGACGAGACCCCAAACCACTCACTGTGCCGGAATGCCGACTGTCGGAGGGTGTACCCCGATGCCGCTTGTGGACCTTGACTCACCTTGTGTACACCCGTCAGCTTAGCGGGTTTTAATCTTCGGAGGGCTTGGTGTTAATGTAGACGTCGGACTTGATGAAGGTCGACCTGGGAGGCCGAGAGGATATGCATCTGTAGGGGTCCAATGTAGGCGGCCACTCGATCGACTTGGTCGAGAGTGGTCTTGTCACCAGATGTTGCAGGTGCTCGTGGCGCCAGGCCTTTAATTGTATCACGGGTGTTAACTGCATGGACTTTATGTGTCTTCTCCCTTACTAATAGGGTATGGAAACCGCTTCCTAAATCGGGCTTAAGTTGGGGGGGGGGTTACTCTACGAACCCACAAGCCAATGTACTCCCTGAAATTCTTCTTACGCTTAGGCATTACTGACGAATGGCTTTTCGACGGCTGGGCCAAACAGATCCTGTTCTGGAACATGTCGGTAGATTTACAATTCTTTTTAGCGCACGACACGTCGTGCTACTTAGATCGCAAATTGAGTAGTATTTAATGCCGCCCTATTCTTTAAGCTCCTTTACTCTATCCTTGCCTTGAGCCTGGGCTCGCTATCATCAGTGGCCAGGAGCCACCAGACCTTGAGAGGCCAAGTCGACCTATGGGCGACCAGGTCGGCCGATGGGTGGCCGGGTCGGCCTACGAATGACCGAGGCCCACCTTGGGCGACCAGGCCGACCTATGGGTGACCAGGTCGACCTACGGGGGATCGACGTCCACCTTGGGAGACCAGGGCCGACCGACGAGTCGTTGAGAAAGATCCAGGTAGGACCGTTTAACTGGTACCGTTGGTCGGTTTGATCCCGTTTTCAGTAACCTTAACCGCTCTTCATGGTTGGACCCAACGGCCGCTCCTTACCTGTGACCCCCAAGTGTCTGGTCCATTTCTTGGCCGCTAGGTCCCATGTCCTTCCGAATCATCGACACTTAAGACCATAATATCCGAATATTTGCTTCACCACACAGGCATACCGCGTGCATTCTCAGTTCTTTTACAGCTATGAAGAAGAGGAAATATCGACAATTGTCCAAGGTATGAGATCTTTAGTCGATGCTGCGGTAAATCGATTTAGAATATTCGCATTAGTTGCGTGCGAAGTGAATTTGCAGATTCGAGCTCCCCCAGTCAAGACTGAAGAAATCTTATTGGTAGATTTTGAGCTAAGAATAACAGGTAGTGACCTCCAAATTTAAGTTCAAGTCCAATGATGCAAGGTTGCCACAAAACTATAACAAAGCACGACTATTCTTAACGACATAAAAATAGGATAGCGTTGTAACAAACCGCGATACACGGGTCGTGTATCATGCAGTGACCCAGGTATATAGTACGGATAGAATTGCATACCGTACTTGTGCAATTGACGTGAGTTGTGGGGTAGTTACGAGGTGCGCTATAAGCCTCAGACGATGTGCGATCGCGATTATAAAATCACGATTTCTATCCCTAGAAAAAGGATTTTACACTATAGGGACCGCAATACATGGTTTGATGTACATTACTGGTGTGCTACACCAGCTAAGTGGGTAAAATTACTTAGAATATTCGCAATACTAATCCTAACATCCGCGATTTGACGATAGAAGTTTCATCTGTTCGTATATCTGTTGTGGACCACGAGATACGAGGTGCGGTTATTAAGAAGCGGCGGCACGTGGCATCGGATTTCGAGATGAAAATAGGTGCTTTCATGGATTTTGGACTTTGGTTGATTTATTTGAAGAAAGTTCAATTTACTTGTAATGTGCCTTTTATCGCTCTTTCGAGCTGGACATATCGGACTCTCGCCGCGAAGAAGGTTTACATAATTATACAAGTAAAAAATCGAAATTATATGACTAGGATCTAGCATCTTGAGCAACATTACTTACAATAAAATGCAGCGGCAAAGTGATCGACAAAATGCAAGATCATAAGAGGTTCTAGTCAATCAAAGCCTAGCAATTCAGGATTAACTTTAGATATAGTGGTCATAAAGAGATGCAGGCAACTTGATTTAAGTCTTATAAGAACACTGCGACTGAGCAAAAATAGAAACTTGATCGCTTACCCATTCCAAGTACGTTCCGTTTTCGGTGAAACTACTTTAAATGAAAAATTTCAGCCCTCCCTACTGACGGAAACAAAAGGTAGGTAACTAAAAAAGCAAGAAAATGAATCAACTTATTTTAGTCGATCAATTAAATGTATGTGTAGATTTGGGATCGCGTAACCTTATCATCGAACCTCGCTTCAATATAATGGTGCGCATGCCGCGAAGGTTTCTTGGTTATTCATGAGATCACCGCAAGTTATTGATTAATGATAAGACGGTAAGGCTTGAACCTGGGATTAAAGCGTCAAAGGCAGCGATACCATTTTTAGACGATTATTTTAAATGTCTTCCCGCTTCAGTTGAATTTTCGGGTAAGTTCTAATGACAAGAAAACGATAGGGAAAGATCGCTTACTCATTCTATAAGGAAAACATAAACTCTATGAAGAGGTTCCCTTGAAAACCACAGAGTG